GGGGGGGGGGGGGGGGGGGGGGCGGAAGAAAATAATGCCCCACCAGGCACGCAACAGAGCCGGCGAGGCCCAAAGGCGCGAGGGGCCGCCACCCGACCACGTACTTGCACAGGCCGACCGCGCAAACGCCCGTTTGCGGGCCGAAGGGGATCCCCCGGGCCGCGAAGGGGCCCCCCTGCTCGGCAGCCACCTCCCAAATCTGGGACACCGGCTCGCGCAGGCTCACCACCAAATCCACACTCCCACGACCATGGTCGAGGTCCAGCAGATAGTCCGAGGCAGTTGCATCGATGGGGGATTCGTCGACATCGCGCCGAGGCCCGGCCGTCGGTTCGCCGCCCACCGACAGCTCCATCCAGGAAAAGCGGTCCAGATGCCCGGGGTACAGCGGTCCGATGGCCAGCATCGATCGCGACAGGGGGACCCGCCAGGGGAGCCCATTGCTCAGGGACCAATGGGGGCGGACAATCAACAGGACATCCAGATCGAAGGCATCGGCGATGGACTCGGCCACGAGGGTGATTGCGCTCGAGCCTGGGCAGCAGGATGGCCGGCAAGCGGCCGCGCATCGAGGGGGAGAGCCCCCATGGGCAAGCGGCAGTCGGATGGGTGAACATTCCGTCGGGCGAGACGCAGCCAGAGGAGTGCCCTGCTCGCGCCTCCCTGTGAAGAGGACAGAGGCGAGGAGGGGAAGCAAGCGGCCGCGCAAGATGAGGAAGAAAAAAAAACAAAACCCCACCCGGAGACCCATCGTACTGGTTGATGTTGCCGAAGTTTGGGGCACGCCAACCTCGCCGGACAGCCAGTGGTCGATGGCCGCCTCGACATCGCCCAGAAGCGAGGAGGTCATGAGGAGCGCCGGATCCGAGTGGTCGACCACTTGGAGCCATGCGTTGGATTGCAGAAAGGAGGTGGAAATGTTCCCGGCCAGCGGGTCGGGCGCCTGGCGGCCCAGCGGCGGAGCAGTCACCATGTGCGCGGACACCACGCGCAGGTAGCCCCGGCAGCGAGCCTGATGAATGAGGCCAGACCCCGGAGCGCTGGAGGCCGGCCCACAGACGGCATTCGCCGCGGACTCCATGGCATGGTGCAGTGCCAGGCGGGTGAACTGCGAGGCGGAATGCCGGCCAAAGACACACAGGAGGGTGAGAACCGGGGGGGGGGGGGGGGGGGGACACCAAGGAGGGGGAGACAACAGCACGGCGAGCGAAGGCATGACACATGTACACGGACGCACATCGCCGATGTTTTGCAGCTGGAGGGAGGAGGGGGCCCCGGGGCTGGCATTGGCGCGAAGGCGCTCCGCGGCCAGGGATGCATATGCATTGCGCACATGCTGCAAGCCGGTGGTGGGTGGACCGGGGCGCGGGGCGCGACCGAGGACAGGGCATTCGGCCTCGGCCAGCACCCGACGCAATACCAATTCCAGGAGATGCATCCGCTCCAGCAGATGCCCGAGGCCGGCCAGCAGATCGGTGGTGGTGGCTTCGGCCACGCCGGGGGCCGGGGACAGGGCCGCATGCTCGGCCACGGGCCCCAGGCCCAGCTCCTCGCACGCGGCAGCCGACAGGCCCAGCTCCAGACAGTGCTCATCCAATGGCAAGCCCCCGACCGCGGGAAGCCGGCAGGGGGGGAGCCCGCCAAGGACCCCGGCCCGGGCTGGCGGGGCATGCTCGGCCAGGGGCAAGCCCGGCAACAGCAGCAAGCTCGGGTCGATGGGCAGCGCCAGCAGGCCGAGAATCGACGCAACCAAATGATCGGTGGTCGTGGCTCCGAGAGGCTGAGGGACCTGCTGCGGGGCCGGGCTGTCTGGGGGAGACCCGGCGGATCCCGGCGGGGCCATGCGCCGGATGAGCCCCGGTGCCAGGCGATCGGCCGCCAGCGTGCAGGTGGTCAGCCGGTCGGCCAGATCCACCAGAGGCAGGAGTCCGGCCCCGAGCAGAGCATCCGGGATGAAGGCCTCATGCAGGTGTCGGCGGACGCTCGGCTCCAGGCCGGGGCATTGGTCCAGCGCGTCGGCCAGAGCCTGGTGTGCGTCGGCCATTTCGTCGGCCCGGGCCTCGGTGACCCAGCGGCGAGGGAGGCAACGCGAGTGGGATTCGGGCGGGAGGGCGAAGGGGAGGGCGACAAAAGGGCGGGATGGAAAAAGACGCTGGGGAGGGAGGGAGGGAGGGGGGGGGGAGGAGAAGGCGGAGGAGGGCGCATCTTGGGGACTCCCCTCCGGAGGCCATTCAGGCCACTTGGGAAAAATAGATGGCCCGGATCCGCGCGGTGGAGGGTGGATCCGGGCCCATGGTCGAGAGGTTCGGCCCCGGCCGCCCGGCATCGCTGTTTGTGTTGTGCCCGCCCTTCCCCCGCTCCCCGCCCGCCCCTCTCGATCGGGGCGGTGTTCTTCCTCCCCGTCCCCCCGGGTGCCCGGGGCGCATACCAGGCCCGGGTCGGCCCGCCACCCCCGGGGTGACGGACCGGCCAGGACGGCAGGCCCAGCCATTCATGCCACGGTGGGAGGAGCGCGGTCGCCCCCCATGGGCGCGTGATCATGAGTGCTCTTGTTCGGCGGCAGATGGGCCCCGCGTTACAGACGAGGATGCGTATTTTTGGTTGGAGTCCGGCCCCTGGCCCGGAAGGGGGAGGGACCGGCAGGCCAGTCGGACTGGCACGTTTCGCACATATGCACAGGCGCGGCCAGCCTCCCGAGGTGCCGGGCCCCCCCCCCCTCCCCCGAAGAGGGGATGATTGACCGAGGGGCATCGCCCGGGGCCGGGGGCGGGGTGTCATTCACCCTGCGTCTGGCCGAGCGGATGGGGGATTGCGTCTTCTTTTTTCCCCCCCCCCCCTCCCTCGAGGATGCTGCGCGCCCGTCAGCACCGGAGCCTACAGCGGCAGCAGCAGCGGCAGCAGCAGCAGCAGCAACCGGGGGGGCGGCGGGCTGTTTCAGCTGGGAATGCAGGAAGGTGATTCCTCGGCCGGGGGGGGGGGGGCGCCGCCGGCGAAGCGCGGGTGTCAGGCGCAAGGCCCTGGCTCTCGCCCGGCGGCTTGGCCCCGGCCATGGGCCGAAAAGTGCATGTGCGAAAGTAGACCAGGCGCGCGCCCTGCCCGGGGCCGGCTTCTCAGCATGGCCCGGCCCGGGCCGGGAACAGGGCCCAACCCGGCTCGGCCGCCGGACCCGGGCAGGGCCCGGCATCTTGACCTGCCCCCCTCCCCGCCCCTCTCGACGGTGTGCCGGTCCCCCTGCCAGTCTGAAGGGGCTTCCATTTTCCGCCCACCATTCCGGCAGGTGGCAGAAGATCGCCCAGGCCGGATGCATGGACACACACCCACACACGCATGTGGGGACACATGCACACCGACGCGCAGGAGCGGCCGGGCCAGCGGCCGCCCCTGGGAGTTGGGGTCGCGCGGGGTGGCCGTCTGGCCGTCCTCGATGCGACGGCGGTGGCTCGCCCCCCCCCCCCCCCCCCCCCTGCCTGAACCCCGGTCAAACTCGCATCCCTGTCCAAGATGAGCCAGCGGAACAGCCCCTCCGTCAGTGCCTCCCCTTCGATGACCGACATGGACAAGAAGGCCGAGTCCTCGGCGCCGTCGAAGAACTCGAAGTTCGTGTCGCCGACCACCGGTCTCCCCTTCCCGGACTATGCGGTGCGTCTGCGCCACAAGTCGGTGAGCACCTTCTTCGATGAGCTCGACAACTCGATCATCGTGCAGCCTCCCAAGATGGACCCCCAGCTGGATGCGCCGAGCCAGTCGCGCATGGTCATCACCGCGGAGAAGCCGCGCCAGGCCATCGAGCTGCTGGACCAGTTCCTGGTGCGCTTCCTCCCCACCGTGGAGGACGTGTCCTGCCTGATGGAGCACGGGCCGATCATGTTCATCGCCGGTGACGCGCTCTTGCTGTGGGTGCTCGAGCACCGGTCCGTCAACATGAACTTCGGCGGGCAAAGCCTCCACGCGGTGCGCGCCTTCGAGAAGGAGCTCCAGTTCATGCTGGAGACCCTGCCCTACTCGCTGGCCAACAATGTGGTCTTCAGCGACTGCCTGGCCAATGCCTGGGCCGCCATCTCCCCGGCCCACATGGCCCTGCGCGAGACCCTGATCAAGCATCTGGAGCTGCTCCAGGGCCAGCCCATTGGCGATCCGGCTGATGATGACTCGGACGACGACGAGGAGTCCGACTCGGACGACGACGAGGAGTCCGACTCCGACAACGAGGGCAAGCCCGCCAAGGCCGGCGCCCACGCCAAGCCGCTGTTCCCCTTCACCGTGCTGAAGGTCAACTCGCTGGTGGCCTTCTCCCAGGTGTTCCCGGCCAACCAGGCCGACTCCATCTTCATCCTGCCGCGTGTTTTCCCCGCGTCCCTGGCGTCGCAGCTGGCCCCGGCCGGCGCGCCCGGCATCGAGGCTTACTCGCGCCTGCTTGCCGCGGCCGCCATTCACGGCCAGTCCAACGTCCTGTGCGTCATCCGTCGACACTCCCTGCCCCCCCCTCGCCTTGGCTCTCGGCCCCGGCCTCTTGGTCCTGCTCCCTCCTCTCGCCCTTCCCCGATCAGCCCCACATCGCTGACCCCCCATTGGCCATTCCACCTCTCCCATGCGCTCGGCACTCCAGCTTCTATGAGACCCTCGAGCAGCGCCGCCCGCGTGTCTTCGCCTCGGCCATCCTGGTTGCCCGCATGGCCCTGTCGGATGTCACTCTGGACCTGGCCTCCTTCGACCAGGCGGTCTTGCGCTTCTTCCCGCCGGCCCCGGTGGCCAAGCCGGCCGGCCTCCTGACGGACTTCCATCGGGATCTGGCTCTCGGCCGGGACACCCGTCGGTGGGTGGTCTCCTCGCTGGCCGTGGCCTCGCTCCTGCGGACCAAGCTTCAGGCCGGCGCCGGTGCCGGGCTGGAGCTGCTCTTCGCCCGGGCCTTTGTCATCCACACGGCCATGATTTCCCTGCTGCCGGTGACCGTCCGCTCGGTGACCTACAGCCAGCCCGAGCCCAGCCTGGTGGCCTTCATCCAGGACCTCTCGGCATTCTTCGCCCCGGCGCTGGCTGCCTTCGAGGCCGATCTCGATGAGGACGAGTATGATGCGTCGGATCTGCGCGGCTTCGAGGCCGGCCTGGCCGACTGGCTGGATGGGCGCCTGCTGCATGCGGTCCTGCATGCGCTGCTCCTGGCCCCGGCCGATGCCAAGCTGGAGGCCGTCCTCGGGAAGAAGCTCCTCCGCACGGTGGCCAGCCTGCTGTGGACCAATGTCCTGGCCCTGGCCGGGCTGGATGCCGCCAAGCATCCTCTGCTTCCCGGCGTGCCGGACGGCCTGAACACCAGCCAGCTGCTGGCCGCGCTGGACACCAGCCGCGCCACTGTCAGCCAGGCGGACCCGACCCTGCTGGGCTCGTATCGGTCTCAGAATACCGCCATTGTGGACATGCTGCCGGTCATCGAGGAGGACCTGGAGGCCGCGCTCAAGGTGTCGGCCGACGGATCGCCCGCCTCCGGCGAGGCCGAGGATGACGAAGCCGCCGCCAATGACGACGATGACGATGAGGAGGATGCCTCCGACGAGGAGGAGGAGGAGGAGGAGGAGGACTCCGAGGCCGAGGAGTCCGATGATGAGGAGTCCAACGCCGAGGCCGGCCCGGTGAAGCTTTCGGCTCGGCATCGCGACCGGATGGCCGCCTTCGCCAAGCGCATGGCCGACTCGCTGGCCGGGCAAATCCCCAAGACGCGCTTCCTGCTGAACCGCCAGGGTGGCGAGCGCACGCACACCCCCTCCACTCGCCGGGTGCCGACCTTCTCGCTGGTGGACCTGCAGAAGGCCTGGGACCGGTGGCGCCTCCGGTCCACGGTGGAGACCCGCAATGTGGACACCCGGCAGAAGGCCCTCATCGTGCTGGAGGTCTTCAATCAGCTGCGCCTGTGCCTGCAGCTGGATTCGGACTCCGCGCGGCAGATTTCCCGCGACGACCGCCGTGCCATCCTGGCCATCGTGCACAATGGTGGCGAGGTGTTTGCCCACATGGCCGAGGACATGTCGCGCCTGCTGCGCATTGCGCCCCTCACCTCGGAGCCCATCAGTGGCCTGGTCATCCAGCCGGACCTGTGGACCATCCAGATGCGCTTCCTCGGGCCGGAGATGCCGCGGCCCAACAATGTGGCCGATCCGCGTGTGCCCTTCCGGCCGGACCCCTGGCAGCGCGACCTGCTGGACCTGGTTGACCGCGATGAGTCGGCCCTGGTGGCGGCTCCCTCCTCTTCCGGGAAGACTTTCATTTCGTACTACTGCATGGAGAAGGTCCTGGCCGAGAAGGATGACTCGGGCATTGTGATCTTCGTGTCGCCGACCAACCCCCTGGCCAACCAGGTCCTGTGGGAGGTGCAGGCACGCTTCGACAAGCAGTATGACGATCCCTCCCGGCGCCTGGTCGGTATTGGTACCGTGCAAATCCGCCGGGACATCCTCACTTCGCAGATTGTGGTCCTCACGCCGCAGATCTACGAGGAGTTCCTGCTGTCCACCAAGCCGGCCATCCAGGACTGGGCCAAGCGCATTCGCTATGTCATTTTCGATGAGGTCCACTCGATCCACTCGCCGGAGGGCAGCACCTGGGAGCGTCTGCTGCTGCTGACGCACTCGCCCTTCCTGGCCCTGTCGGCCACCATCAGTAACCCGGAGAGCATGCGCTCCTGGCTGGACACCGCGCACAAGGCCTCCGGCCGGCCGGTGCGCTTCATCCACACCAAGTACCGCTTCAATGACTTGAAGAAGTCGGCCTTCATTCCGGACCTTTCCAACCCGGAGGCCGATCCGATTGTGCCGCTGCACACGCTGGCCATGTACTCGCTGGAGGAGCTCCGTAGCCAGGCCATGCCGGATGACATTTACCTGTCGCCGGATGAGGCCCTCGAGCTGTACTTGGCCGTGTCGCGCGTGCTCCGGAACAATGCCTTCAGCGAGCGCTTCCTCCCGTCGGCCTACTTCGCCGGGGAGCACATCATCACCCGTGACATGGCCCTGCGGTATCAGGAGGATTTGATGGCGGTCTTTTCCAAGCTCCTGCGCGGGGTCACCTGCACCGAGCGCGGCCCGCAGGCGATCTTCGAGTTTTCCGGCCACGCGGAGTTCCTCCTCAGTCGCCATGTTCTTGGCCGGATCAAGGAGGCGGTCGATGTGGTGGACGCCGGCCGGGGGATGCTGGCCCTCCGGTCGCCGGCTGGGTCCGGTGTTTTGATGGTGGCGGTCCGTGCGCCGACCACCCCCTCGGACAGCAAGGGCCCGCGGCCGAACTTGCGCCAGGTCCTGAAGGCGGCCGTGGCCGCCGTGCGGGACACCCTGTCCACCGTGGTGGATGATGTGCTGGCGGTGCTGCGCCACACGCGTGATGAGATTGACCGCCGTGTGGCGCTCTTCCATTCCGAGCGTAGCCTGGCCCTGTCGGATGAGCAGTTCCTCCAGCAGAATGTCTATGCCCTGGTCCGGCACCTGCACCAGGCGGACATGGGCCCGATCATTGTCTTCACCTTCTCGGTGGAGCGCTGCCGCGCTCTCTTCCAGCTGACGGTCGAGGCGGTCATGGCCGCCGAGGAGGTGGACCGCGAGTCGCCACGCTTCAAGCGCATGTTCCGCAAGGCCGAGCAGGAGGAGCAGGCGGCTCGTCGTGCGCGCGATGCCACCGAGCGCAAGAGCACCACCCCTCGGCGCGATCGCGAGGAGGAGGACCTCCCCCACCCGGAGGACGAGCAGAAGGAGCCCACCCTCACGGTGGAGGATGTGGAGCACATGGTCCGCGAGCGTCACTCCTTCCTGGGCCACAATACCGACAACCTGCGCCAGGCCCTGGCCTCCATGCCGCGGGCTGCCAACCAGAACCGCATCCTCACCTATGGCCTGGAGCGGGGCATCATCATCCACCATCGTGCGGTTTCCTCCAACTATCGTACCCGGGCGGAGATGCTCTTCCGCCTGCGTGAGGCGCGTCTCATCTTTGCCACCGGTACGCTGGGTCTCGGCTTGAACATGCCGGCCAAGACCGTGGTCTTTGCCGGTGAGTCGCTGAACCTGGATGCGCTGAACTTCCGCCAGCTGGCCGGTCGTGCTGGGCGCCGTGGCCTGGATCGCGAGGGCAATGTCCTGTTCTTCGGCCTGCCCATGCACCGGATGCGTTCGCTCATGTCCCGGCCGATTCCGCCCTTCCTGCCGACCAGCGTGGTGGACACCCCGTCGCTGGTGGCCCTGACCCAGCTGGCGCAGTCGTGCGTGGACAATGGCGACAGCGAGCGCTACGAGCAGGTGGCCCAGGGCATCGACCGGGTCCTGCGCCACTCGATGCTGGTGCACAAGAACCCGGCCCTGGCCCCGGAGCATGCCTACCTCTTCTGGTTCCAGCTGCAGATGATGCGCCAGACGCGCATGCTCAACACTCGCGGCCTGCTGACCCCGGTGTCGGCCATGGTCATGGCCCAGCCGACCGTCGGGTCGGGCCCCATGGTGCTGCACTACCTGCTGGAGCACCACCGGCCGGTGCTGGAGCGCGCCGCCGCCACCAAGACCGACGGTGTGTCGGAGCTGTTTGTCCTGCTGGCGTACCTGTTCGAGCAGCGGTCCATCGATTCGCAGATGGCCAGCCCGGCCCCGACCAGCCAGCCGGACAAGCGGGCCAATTCGCCGAACCTCTGCCTGCCGGCCCTGTCGGAGTACATCACCTCGGCCCTGGATTCCTTCAACGATCTGAGCCTGCGCACTGCGTCCACCTTTGTGTCCAGCATCGTCGTCCACTCGGAGTCTGCCGAGGAGGAGTCCGTTGACCCGGATGCCTGGTGCGTGTTTTCTTTTGGGGCTTCTTTTTTTTTTTCTGCTTGCCATGCCTTCCTCCTCCGCCCGCCTGTGTTTGGGGCTTCCTCGCTCGCCACGCGCGCCCCCCCCCCATGTGCCTTGCCTTCCCCCATCGCCTCTCCGTCATGATGCTGACTTCTTCCTCTCTTGGCTGCGGGGGCATGTCCCCTCCTTCTTTGTCTCTCTCCTCCCCCTTTCCGTGCCCGCTCAGCCTCCCCGTCTCGCAGCTTTCCTTCCCCAGCATGTCCATCGGTCCCGAGGACGCCGGGGCCATGCTGTCGCACATGCGCACCGTCCTGTCCAAGCCGCGCCTGCGCAATGCCTTCAACTCGATGTCCGGCGCCGGGGACGCCTTCACCCACCCGGAGCAGATCCTCCACGAGACCAACCACAGCCGCCTGATGGACTCCCTGTCCATTCCCTATGTGGAATACGCCAACCCGGTCAGCAACTACCTGATTGCCATCACCCGGCGCCTCTCCCTGCAGTCCTTCTACGCGCACTATGGTCTGGCCGAGTTCGTGCTCCACCCGGCGGTTGATCGCTTTGTCACGTACATCCGTATTGTGCTGGATCATATTGTCCGCAACAAGCTCGGCGTCCGTGCCAACTCCTTCCTCTCCCTGGCTCAGATCCACTCGGACCCCATTGCCAAGGAGCTTAACGACATCGCCACCGCGCTGGAGGTCTCCTCTGTGGCCATCTTCGGCCCGACCCCCTTCCGTCGTGGTTTCCGCAAGGCCTAATGGTGCCGATGTGTGTGTGTGTGTGTGTGTGTGTATGCACTGCACACGACGACGGCTGGGTTCCCCGCCGGCCAGCTGGCTCCGGCCCTTTTGCGGGGGCTCTTTTCTCCGCCCCTTCCTACTTTCGGTTTGTTCCCCCCCCCCTCCCCCCTGCCCAGAATATACATACATTTACTCGTGGCACTCGCGGTATGCCTCGCTTTTTCTCGCCGCCCACCCTCCCCGCCCCTTGGGCGTTTCCTGCCTGCCGGGTATTGTGCCTTTTTTATTGCCTTGATTGCGGCGTTTTTTGTTGTTTTTTTTTCCTCGAGGTCGGCACGTCCGGCGGGATGTCCCGACCACGTGTCATGTGACTCGTCTCGTCCGGGGTCGATCGTGTCCATGTTCCTGATTTTGATTGCGGCCTTTGTCTCTCTCCGTGCGAACACGCGTTCAGTGGGGTTTTTTTTCTCGGATACGCCTGGATTCAGCTCCGAGCCGCAGGAGGTCCTCCACATCGCGGGCGTGGGCGCGGGCGCGGGCGCGAGCGGTGTCCCCCCAATCCGGACACCCTGGGTGCTTTTTTGCACCCATCGGTCTCCAGGCGGCTTCCCGCGGCCCCTGCATGCCCCAGCC